GAATAGGAAAGCATGTCTTTCCTTATTCTTACTGATTAGATATTAAGGGTAGAGATATTCAGATAAGACAAGAGTATAATTTGCGCTAGCCACAGTCACTCTGAGAAATCTTTCTACACTCTACTGAACAATCGTTTGTTCAATGCTTCCAGGTTTCTAATAGTGGTCTAACATTCATCGGTTCATGATTTCATGTGATATTGAAGTCGTTAGGTCTCATATCCTCTTTAAACTCAAATGACGTATTTTGAGAAACATGAATATGAACAAAACGTTATAGCGATAGACAATATCGAATACTTTAATATGTGTGTTTTCTCATTTCAACTGAGTTTCTAATGTTCTTTGAGATGTTTTTTATGTTATTGATGGTCATATCACCAGTGTGTTCGATCTTTTTAAATCTTTTACCGACCATTCCAGATGTGATTATCTTCAATGTGTTTATCCGTTCTGGCAGAATGTCCCAAAACTCATGCCATTTTGCCTAAATACTTCAAACTGAACATCTGCTTTAATTCAACAAATATCCAGTGCGTAAATCATCTGTGGTACTTTTATGATTGAGTTGAACTCAAAAGTTTCTTCAAAATGCCATTGACAACATAGTTTCTGTGAAACGAATAGAAATTAGATGACCTTAGTGAATTACACATTAACTAGTACTTGGATTGTTCTTCACTAGAAATTCTGTCCATATTTAGTCTATCAGAATTATTTGTATTACAACTACGGTTGAAATAGAAAACCATCCAGCTGAACTATTTAGTTGACATCACGAATCCATATAAATCCAACGACCAATGAAATCTTTCAGGCAGTATACAACTGCAAGTCCTCCATTACCAGTCACTGATTATTCTCTTGAAGGCTCTTACCAATCAGTTGATTACCTCATAAGAACACTAAATTATATCTGACAGACGACTTAAAACATGTTCACAGCATTCGTCACGTCATGTGATTTATTACTCACCAATTTTATGCTAATGTCATAAACGGTTTCAATTTTGGATTTATACTACTGTGAAATGTATTAAGTAGTAGTCTGAACAAATTGCAACAAAACACTCATGACCACTTCATACATTCAATAATTTTGTTTCTTGTATCGCTCTCATTATAAATCCACGTATAAAATTTCATTTTGTATTTCTTCTTTAAAGCTCCATGTTTTGTTTTTTAATAAACCTCCTACTTAGACTCCCCATATGTTTTGTCTATCTGTTACATTTTAATGAATTGTCTCACAATTATTTAACAACATTCAGTTATTGTTGTTTGCTTGTATCTTCCCATTGTTGTTTAGCACTGTGAATGATCAGTCTTTTGTTAGAATATATACATTCTGTGCGGATTACCTCGATAATGCCGTAATTCACAATCATTATAAGCAAAGATGAATGGTGGCTAGCACTGGAATCCACTTTGCAGCGCGTTTCGTCTTATTTTAGAGTCGTCAGCTAGATGTACTTGCATCTCAGAGTTGATGTTCACGCTGGAAATCAAACCCAGCACCGTTCGAATGAAACATCATCACGTCATACACTTAGCTACTGATTCTTGATAGTCACTTGCTTGTGCAATAGGGTGAAGTTAAAATACACTTGATGTCGTTTTACTTGTATTTTCCTATTGTTGTTTAGCACTATAAATGGTCAACCACTTATTGGAATACATACATTCTGTGCGGATTGCCTCAACATTGCCTTAAGTCACGGAAGAACGATGACATAAAGTGCATAGAAAAGTTCAGATGCTTAAACACAGTTATTTAATGAGTAAAATTTGAAGTCGAACTACAAATGAATAATTCATCATACAGCGCGACAGCTGAATCGGTAACGAAAATTTTACAGCTCATTAAAATTTAACATAGTAGATGTACTTTGAAGGAATGAACCAAATTTTCTTTACACTAACATCAGTAAATGGTTTATAAAAATTTGTCAAAGTATGAAGGAGATCTGTTCATTGTGTAGATCGTCTTGCTCATCCACTGTTAATTCGGCCATTCGATCATGTTGCTTGAAACATGTTACATTTCCATGTCATTTTTAGTTCGTAAGTGGGAACGTTAAACTGACTAGTTATCCATAGTGTTTCATAACTTCTTAATTAACTGTTGGTGTGGAAACACAAAAAGAATCAATTCTGAGACCATTCATTGACAGTTTGCAAGTGAAGAATTTGCTGCATGGTTCTCAATTAAAGCTAGACCACCATAGAAAACCTAGAAGCATTGAAAGACCGTTTCGTCCTATTGTGGAACTAATCAGCAGTGTGCATCTACGATCTCGCGCACGAACTTCGAACCCAGGATCTTTAGTCTCTCTCGCTTATGCTTAGCCTCTATACCATTGAGCCGGAAACTTAAAGTGTTAATGTCTAACATCAGCCATCTAACATCGATCATCTTCCATTATCTGAGGTAGATACCTGTCTCTACCCGACACGGATTGAAATCCACCAGTCTCGGCTTCTCAATAAAACTCCAGGAAATCATCTTCAAGCCATTCAACAGTAAGCGCATAACTATTATGATTAGAATGGGGTATCTACCTTATGAATGGTTGTGCAACCATTCATGGATCGATAGAAGTTAAACATTAACATCGTTGGATACAGGCTAGGTGGTCTATAGGTTAAGTGTTCGCGTACAAGACCAAAGGTACTGTGTTCGAGTCCCAAGTGCAGGATTATGAATATGCACCAGTGAAGAATCCCATACTGGGACGAAATGGCCATCTACTGCTCTTATATATAGACTTATGAATTCAACTACAATCTCCGTAACCCACCCCCTGTCTGATCATAACACAATAAATCTGTGTTGGTATGAAAATATTTGGATGATCAACATTGAAGATAAAGATTATCTTAAATAAACAAATATAGACTGATCTTTATAATCAACCATCTGTATCAATGTTCAAATAAACAATTGGATGTAACACAATCATAGTTAGTTGATATGTACTTTGTACTAGTTTCAAAAATACATGGGACATAATTACGATGAGATTGAAATTTGTGAACGACCTTTGAAAGACGATGTTCACCTAGTAACTAGGACTATATGAAGATTATAAAGTAGTATGAAGAATAATGATTATGATTTATAGTTGATGGTTAAGGTTAGGAATTTGATTTAAGGTTTTCATAAAGAACTGATATCAGCCTAAATGTCAAAACTTTATTTGATGTATGAATTTCGATCCAAAATCCAAGATCTGTTATCTTGAATCTGATTGATTCGTTCATAAATTAGAGTTTCGCAGCTTCACTTGCAAATCTTCCATCAGTTGTCCTTTATATTCTATCTGATTCCTCCGATTCACAGTTCTTTTCTCTGCTTTTTTGAAATTCTATCTTCATAGTCTTCTGCTACCAGTCAGTCAACATTTGACTAGTGTTACATTCTACTTATATCTATCGACATCAGTAGCATACAGCACAGATATATAACAGTTTGATGATATCGGTTATACAGGTCTTATTCACTTCCAACGTCTTTGCCTAATTTTCATTTCAACAAAAGCTGGTCTGTAGCTCCTCCACGGCTACTGCCGGTCCCAAGCACGTGTCAAGGAGGAGGGTTGTGCATGGGGTCAGCGTCACTGTTCCATAAAAATATCTTTCTAAAAAAAGCTAATCAGTTAGGTAACATCACAGTGTAATTACTTCTCAGTAATGAAGAACTTTCTACAACTTGATTCATCGATTCTATCAACTATATTTGTAATATCACAATGAGATCATATCCAGAACGTCAAAAGCGTCAGCTATGTTTCATTATTCATTAATCACAATAAAAATATATCAAACAGTTTGACTAAGAAGAAACTCACAATTGTTAATTGATCAAATTACAATTCAATGTCATCAAGCTACGGTTTGGTACGTGGAGATAATAACTCGCTCACTCTCGACCTATTGACAGTAGTAATTAGAAACCTCAATGGTTACCAGATTAGACTCAACAGACTAAAACTACTGATTACATTCAAACGTCCATCAACATTTTAAACAAAATATGAATAGTGGCACGCGTGTTTCCTCCTATTTGGGACTCATCAGCTGGATGTACCCGCATCACAGTTCATGTTCACTCTGGGATCCGAACTCAATACTGTTCGCTTCAAACCCAGTCACGTTATTCAAGTAAACACAATCAAGTGAAACCAGTAATACTTATTTTCATTTATTCTCGGAGTTCTAGTGAGAAGTCGTGACAAGTGGAGCTAATCTATGTGAAAACAGGTGTCTACCTCAGTACAAGGAAAGATAGTTGCTCAATTTCGTAAGTTAGTTGATGTTAGATATTAACACCGTTGGATACCGGCCTGCCCAGTTGTTCACAGGTTAAGCGTTCACACGCAAGACCGAATATCACGGGTTCGAGTCCCGTGTGCGGGACTGCAAACACGCACTACTGAAGAGTCCCACAGTGGGACGAAACAGCCATCCAGTGCTTCCAGGTTTTCAATAGCGATCTCACATCAATCGATGCATGATCTCAATCAAAAACTTGATAATCTCCATAACCTCATAACGAATTAGAAAGGAATCAGAAACATATAATACCGAATGAATAACAATACACACTATGTAACCATCGGGCAAATCATAAATAACTCATATTGAATGTTAAAGATAATACACATAGAAACAAAATCATAACATCAATCCATAATATGATCTCATTCATTTGTTTATCTAAATGAATTCGGTAGATATAAATTATTGATGTAACTTTGGTAAACCAGCTGATATAGCTGATTCAATGCCACATTCATTTTTACCACGTAAAATTTTAAAATAACCATGATCACCCCATTGATCATTCCATGAATTAGCACATAACCAATAAGGTATATGATTATGTTCAATACCCCAACCAAGTATACGTATAGCATGACCACCTAAATATGAACCAGTGATATGTTTATAAACACCAGATTTATAATGAAGAAAATCTTCATAGACATAGAATCCACCTTCAACTGGACCATTTAATAAAATCTCTTTCATGATTGAAATTTCTTCACTGGCTACATTATAAGAAGTTTTACCTTTTGAAAATGAAGAGAACAGAAAAACAAATATAAATTGAACGGTGGTGTGTACTACTGATATCAACATATATAAGTAGTATGCATCATCATCAATGGAGAATGAAGATCAAAGAAAAGTGAACCACAACAAAGGATGATTGGTGTGGAAACGAAATGACAATCAAATCTGAGACAATTGATTGACATTTTACAAATGAGGAATTTACTGTACGGTTTTCAGGTTTGACTAAGATGTTCTGTAATTATGTGTGTTCAAATATATTCGATTGTAATCAGATAGGGATTTTGTGAAAATTATAGTAATTTAATCGTCAAATTCATTAATTAATTGAAGCTAGACTAGACCATTGAAAACCTGGAAAAATTGGATGGCCGTTTCGTCTTGGTATGGGATTCCTCAGCAGTGCGCATCAACGATCCCATTCGCGGGATTCGAACTTATACCACTAGGTCGGTATTCAACGTTGCTAATGTCTAGCTTCAACCAATCCACGAAATTGCGCCACCGTCCACTGTTGTCATCAGTGAGTTACTATCTCATAATAGACCCGAGTGAACTCCACTGGTCACGGCTTCTCACTAGAACTCCAGGAAATACCTCTTGGAGACCGTCACTAGTGAGATGATGATTAAGGGTACAATCAGATAGGATTTTCGTGGATATTATAGTAATTTCATAGTTAAGTTCATTCGATTGTCCTCATTTGTCTGTTCTCATTCACAACAATATTAATAGTAGTAGTAGTTGTTGTTGTTGTAGTTGTAGTAACCACATATCTGAGTATATCGTCAGTGATGGATAGTTATCCTTCTATATTTTATTGATAATTTTAACGTCAATAAAAAAAATTTCTATGGAATACTGTCTACATTTGTTTGATCACATTGTTCTTCAAGCTGATTGATTTCTATCGATTAACTTGTCATGTTATTACTGATCTTAACAACTTGAAGGTAGATTTCGAACCAACACCAATAGTTGTCACAGTCATAGACGTTTTCACTCATCCATCCTGGTTGAAACTGAACTATATTGTCTTCATGACCACACTTACTATCAGCTTGTGTTGAAAAACTATCAGTGATTTGTAAGACCTGGATTTAAAGTAAGTAATCTCATTTGACGACTTATGTCATCTTTCTAGATATAATTCTTTATAACTCAGTCAATCAGCTACAATGTAGGACCAGGCATATATATGCATCGGTCCATGTTGCCAAAACTCATTAGTACTACAAGATGATACAGGGAGAACGAATGAGTTCGGAGGAAGAAAGTTATAAAGTAATTTTATCCTCACAGTTGAAGGGAAAACAAAGGGTGTATATACCTACGCCATTGTGATTGATTCTGAGCCATGTCACATACAGTCTCTAAACATTGGCTACGATAGTTGTGCGGATCCCAACCGAGTAGTCTGCATCTACTAATATGTCTCAGTCTAGGAGATAGTGACTTTATGGACTGATGTCATGTTTTGGTTTGGCCACCTCTAACTTTCTTCCAACCATCTCCAACACTAGTCAGCATTGCGTGTCGTGGTAATCGGTGTTCAGGCATACGCAACACATGGCTCAACCATCTCAGTCGATGAGGATTTATAACCTCATTTACTAACATTTCCCAATACCACGTGTCTAACCACACTAATACTTACTCAGTAATCCCAGCAGATGCGAGCAATATTTCAAAGGCATCTGTGGTCACATAGTAGTAGCTTACGAGTACCTTTCACTCTTAATGGCTACGTCTCGCATCGTAAAGTAGAATAGAATGAACTGCTGCGCAGTATTCTTGTCCCTTAATTGGTGAACAGATATCTCGACTTGTAACTGTTTGAGAATTGTCTTCAACATCCCATTAGTACGATAGATAAACTAAATATCACGCATAAAATAGACTGTCTGTCCTTCTTAATAATATCATTCTCACAAATTTTACACATTAACCCTATAAGCAACCAACCGATTACTGTAATTTATCTACAGCAGTTTCTTTTTTAACGTCTAATCTACCTTGATAAAGTTCACCATCCAGATCAAGGCCTCTTAATAAACATGTTGAATCTCTGAAATAAATGAATTCATATTACTCTTCCATAGATATTGTCTTCACTATTTTCAGGATTTTATTGAAATCACAAATCGATCAATCTTAAACCGCTGTTGAATATCTAGAAACACTGAATATCCGTTTCGTCCTAGTATGAGACTCCTCAGCATTGAGCACCCAATCTCTCTCGTGCGCGCGAGACACGAACCTAAGACCTTCATCCCATGAGAATGTGTAACCTATATAAACATATTCAGTACTACAAAATATACAAATTCAAACAATGTATAATAATACTAACCATAAAATTTATCTTTTTTATAGGGTTTATGATAATCATCTTGACAACTTTTATAACATTCTGGTGTTGAATAATAATGACTTTCACATAGTGGATAACTTTTTGTACTTGCATGATGATTACATTTAGGAAATGGATATGGTTGACATCCTGTATGCGTTTCATTTGATCCTCCTGTAACAATACCTTCATATTTCCAATAATCCCATGCCATTCCTGGAATACCACCATTACAACCAAGACCACATCTTGTACAACAGCTTAATAGATTAACAGCACTTAATTCTACAGAGATTTTACTTTTAGAATGAATACAGATACGATCACTCATTGATTCAGCAGCTCCAAAAGCCTACATCATTTTAAGACAGAAAAGAACGGTTACACAACCCAACAGAATTGGAACATCATTAGAAGTATAACTGTAAATCAAAGAGTATTTAACAAGAGTTTCATCTTAATGTTATTTTTTTTTATAAATTCTCATCTTCTCATACTTACTTACTTCGTGGAGGAGCATAGGCCACTCACCATCACTCTCCATCAAACCCTGTCCTCGGCTCCAGCTCTTTCCACTTGTTATTCATTCTTTTCACATTTGCTTCTATTTCCCTACATAATATGTTCCTTGACCTTCTTTTTCTCCTCTTCCCCTCAGAATTCCAAGTTAGCGCTTGTCTCGTGATTTCTATAATGTATGTCCTATCCATTTCCATCGTCTTTTCCTAATTTCCCCTTCACATGGAAACTGGTTTGTTCTCTCCCACAGAAGGCTGTTGCTGATGGTATCCGGTCAATGGATGTTGAGTATCTTGCGTAGATGGCTATTTACAACTATTTGTACCTTCTTGATGATGGTTGTAGTAGTTCTATAAGTTTCAGCTCCGTACAGTAGAACTGTCTTGACGTTCGTACTGTGGATTCTGACTCTCATATTGATTGACAGTCGTTTCGAATTCCATATGCTGTTCAACTGTAGGAATGCTATCCTTGCTTTGCCAACCCACGCCTTTACATCGACCTCAGATCTTACTTGTTTATTGGTGATGCTGCCGAGGTGAGCATAACTTTTCCCATCTTCCAGAGATTCTACTTTAAGTATGATTTAGCTGATTCTTTCTGTGTTGTATTTCCAGATCTTGTTTTTCCGTTGTGTATGATGAGGCCTACTGATACAGAGGCTACTGTTGTACTGTCTGTTTTCACCTGCATTTGTTGATATGGATGGGACGTTTTCTAAGAAATTCAAAAAAGGCGAGAGTAAACAGTCCTGTCTAACGACGGTATTTACTTGGAATGCATCTATCAGTTGTCCTTCATGCCTAATTTCACAGTTTATTCCATATGATGTTGACGATTTCCAGGTACACCATAATTTTTTTATCCACGCTATCAAACGCTTTCTCATGGTCAGGGAAGTTTATTTATAATGACGAAATAAATTCAATTGATTGTTCAGCAGTGATTTAAAGTGTCGCGACGCGATCTGTGAATGAGCGATCGTTGCGGGATCTAGCCTGTTCCCCTCGAAGTTGGGCGTCTACTTAGTCTTTCATCTGATTCAATAATACTGTGTTTACAACTTTTCGTGGTACTGACAGTAGTGTGATGCCTAAAGTCCTCATACTTTCTCAAATTTCCTTTCTTTAGGCTCATACTGAAAAGAAAAGATTAGATTCAAGAGAGATGCTGTTGTATTCTGGTCATGAAGGAAAAAAATGCTCGACACACGCAGTAATTTCTTGTATTGCTGTCCAAAGAAGCATGAAAAGCACCCATAGGATGGAAATCCTATCGATCTGGAATTCTCAAAGCATCCTTCAAAACAAAGAATGAAGGAATCACATTGGATTTTATCCAGTATTATACATCCATCGATGATAGTAAAAAAGATGATAAAGTTCAGAGGCATCAGTCAATCGCACAGAAGTGCTCAGGTAAGAAAACGGACTATCTTGATGGAACATCTAAATCCCAAAGTCGGAATGGACAACACCGACTATGAAGATATCATGGGACGATATGGACTGGAAGAAAGGAATATGAATAGCAAATGATTTGCAAATTTATATATAACTTCAACAAAATTGTTATAGGTCGATGTACCTGCATCCTAGGAATATCTAAATGATGAGACCCATAAAGTAAAAAAAACCATCCTGGATTCTGCTTCTAGCCATATTGCATCTCTTCTACACCACCAAGTCGTAGACAGTAACTTAGAGAGGTTTATATCAAACTAGGAGTATCTATAAAAAGATACTATTTATCAGTTACTAGGCAGTTAAACTATGAAAGAAACTCATATGATTAAAGTGTATATAACATCATTAAACGACATGATTCTATAATAGAGTGAAATAGAAACGATATTTATATAATGAGTCCCAAATAGAACGAAACGCTCGTAAAACTGAATTCCACTTCTACTCACTATCCATCTTTTCTTAAAAAAAGCTTGTGACTTAAAGCTATACCGAGGCAGTACACACAGAATTCACATATGCCAACAAGAGACTACTGATCAATTACAGTTCTAAATAACAGTCAGAAGATACAAGTAAACAACATCAAGTGAATGTAAAACTTCACCCTATTGCCGATACACACGTAAAACTGGATTCCACTTCTACCTGCTATCCATCTTTGCTTAGAAAACCTTGTGACTTAAGGCTATATCGAGACAATCTGCACAGAATCCACATGTGCTAACAAGGAGACTGATCATGTAAAACAACACCAAGCGATATATATATATATATATTATTTTGTAAACTATAACAAATCATCTATTACCCAACATGAACCACATGAAGATTGATCACGTATTGTTCGAATACTTGGACAATTCTTCCAATGTTTACGTGAATCAAAGAATTTTGGTAATTTAATATTAACATCATTATGTCTAATTGTTGGACGTAATTTTATTCTTTGATTATTATCTTCCAATATAACACCCATCATTAATTTAGCATCTTCAATTGTACTAAATCGATTAGTTCTTTGAGCTTTCCATCCAGCATTAGGCTACAATATATACAATACATGTATAGTTAATCATTTAGATTATCATTCAAAGTTCAATTTACTATACTACTCAAATATTCTTGTAAATTTAATGCAAAACCAATAAGAATTATGTATATGCTTACAAATGATTGAATTGAAGATAGATAGAAGATATTCAATGTCATAGTATATACAAGTCAACATCGTTTTAGTTAGATTCTGCTGATAATAATGAGTGATAACCTTTGTGATCCATTCCTGAACTAATACTATACGTATATTTTGTATTGTATAATTCCTCAATAACTAAACTGTTCATATTCATGTTCCTCTTATCATAAGCTTCATTTTGACCTATGAACTATTATTATACGATTTACCATTCTTGAGTTATACCCAGTCTATTTCCACTTTTGACTAGATCTTGTACAAATGTTATCTTCTATGGTACGATGTGGTCTGTTTGGTTGGTATATAAACTTCGTATGTTTGAAATAAATGATTCATATTGCAAAAACTAAGATTGGTGTTCTGGACTCTAACAGGCAGAGCTAGGCAGGAAGCAGGACCAGTAAAGACTTCTTGTACGGGTTTTCATGCGTTATTGGTTCGATCGATCAATCACTGTTCTCTAATTGGCAGTATCGTTACATCATACATTAATAGGACACAGGGCACAATTTACAACAATTGGCGACGGGGTGGAAAACAAAGGACCAAGGGCATAAAATCATAAGTTATAACAGATTGAAATCATAAGTCAGTTGAAGCTAGACCACCATGGAAAACCTGGAAGCACTGGACGGCCGTTTCGTCCTAGTATGGGACTCCTCAGCAGTGCGCATCCACGATCCCACACAACGCGGGACTCAAACCCAGGACCTACGGGCTTCGCGCGCGAGCACTTAACCATTAGACCACTGAGCCGGAATCCAACTGTGTTAATGTCTAACTACAACCAATCCACGATGTTGCGCCACCATATTACCATTGCATTCAGTGAGCTGATATCTCACAGCAGACCTGGTTGTACTCCACTGGTAACGGCTTCCCACTAGAACTCCGCGCGCGAAGCCAGTAGGTCCTGGGTTCGAGCCCTGCGTGGTGCGGGATCGTGGATGCGCACTGCCGAGGAGTCCCATACTAGGACGAATTCATAATATTTCAAGGTTTCTCATCACCTGCTTACAAACCAAAAAAAATGTGACAGAATATTTTTACATTTAGATAGTGTGAAACAATTGCGATAAATGAATGTAACTAACTGAATTACAATAATAATTATATGCTAGTACAGGTCAGGGAATTAATTCGATGTAGGTGGTGCAATAATGGAATTGAATAGTGATTAGATGGGTTACGTAATAATAATTAAATAGAATTTGGAAAGTTAAGGTAATTGAAGAGGATCAGGTGGTGAAAATGTGTGAATAATAATGTGGTTTAAGAATTATGTAATAGGGGAGGAGTATAAATATTCCTCGTCTGCAACAATCACGAACACTCCATTAAGCTATTCGATCTATTTAATAAAGCACAGGAGGACATAGAGTTTACTATGGAACAAGAAGCTGAAGAAGAATTCCATTTCCTTGATGTTGGGATCCGACGAACATCTGATGGTAAATTACATAGACATATTCACCATAAAAATACCCGGAGTGATCTATATCTCAATTACCACAGTTTCTGCCCAATGAGTTACAAAAAGGGTATTGTACGAAGCCTTTTTGACCGCGCTCAAAAAATCTGTTCAAAAGAATACCTTGATGATGAAATTATTCTGATTACTAATGTTCTACGTGATAATGAATACCCAATCAAATTCATCCAGAAATATGCAAAAACCAATCCTCGTGCAAAACTCCGCCTGTAGCTCTTATAGGGTTGCTGCCGGTCTCAAGCCCGGGTAAAGGAGGAGGGTTGGGCATGGGGTTAGCGTCCCCATCCAGTAGAAAACCAACTCGCTAAAAAAACGCTTACCAGAAAAAATAATCCAAACCATTTTAACTCTGCCCTGGGAGTTAGAAGGTCTTCATTTAGAAGAATTATGACGCTTCATGGTGAAAGCCGAGTTCCTTCGGAAGCCACGAGGCCGATGCCCCTTCTAACAACCAGAGCAAAAATTTTTATAGGTACATGGAACGTTCGAACAATGTGGGAAACCGGGAAGACCAGTCAAATATCAATGGAAATGAGGAGATACAACTTAGCAGTACTGGGAATCAGCGAAACCCACTGGACCCAAGCTGGACAGAAAAGGCTAGCTACGGGAGAGATGCTGCTATACTCCGGTCACGAAGAGGACAATGCTCCACACACTCAGGGAGTCGCTCTTATGCTGTCCAAAGTAGCACGAAATGCACTTGTAGGATGGGAATCTCACGGATCCAGAATCATCAAAGCATCATTCAAAACAAAGGAGGGGATCTTAATGAATATTATCCAATGTTATGCACCCACCAATGATAGCAACGACGAAATCAAAGATCAGTTCTACGAGCGGCTGCAGTCAATCATTGAGAAATGCCCAAGAAAGGACCTAACTATTCTGATGGGAGATCTAAATACCAAAGTTGGAATAGACAACACCGGATATGAAGATATTATGGGACGACATGGACTGAGAGAAAGAAACGAAAATGGAGAAAGATTTGCAAATCTATGTGGATTCAACAAATTGGTCATAGGAGGCACAATATTTCCACACAAGCGTATACACAAGGCTACATGGATCTCACCGGACCACACTACAGAGAACCAAATAGATCATATTTGCATCAACAAGAAATTCCTAAGGACAATGGAAGATGTGAGAACCAGGAGAGGTGCTGACGTAGCTTCAGATCTCCACCTAGTTGTAGCCAATTTAAAACTGAAGCTAAAAAAGAACTGGACAAGTGGACAAACAGCAATACAAAGGTTCAATACAGCCTTCCTTCGAGATACTGACAAACTCAATGAATTCAAGATAGCTCTCAACAACAGGTTCCAAGCCTTACGAGATCTACTGAAAGAAGAAGAAACTACTATGGAGGACAACTGGAAAGGCATCAAGGAAGCATTAACTTCAACGTGTCAAGAGGTTCTCGGTCTAAAGAAACACCATCATAAGGAATGGATCTCTACAGAAACACTGGACAAGATCAAAGGAAGGAAGAACAAGAAGGCAGCAATAAACAACAGCCGAACACGAGCAGAGAAAGTCCAAGCACAAGCTGAATACATAGAAGCAAACAAACAAGTGAAGAGGAGCATTAGAGCCGACAAGAAGAAATACGTGGAAGAACTAGCAACGACGGCAGAAAAAGCTGCTAGAGAAGGAAATATGAAACAGCTTTACGATACAACGAAGAAACTATCAGGGAAATACAGTAAACCAGAGAGGCCGGTCAAAGACAAAGAAGGCAAGCCAATCACTGAAATTCAACGACAGCGTAACAGATGGGTAGAATACTTCGAAGAGCTCCTGAATAGGCCGGCTCCAGTGAATCCACCGAACATCGAAGCAGCACACATAGATCTTCCTATAGATGTCAATCCACCAACTACGGAAGAAATTAGAATGGCCGTCAGACAAATCAAGACCGGGAAAGCAGCAGGACCCGACAACATACCAGCTGAAGCACTGAAATCACACATCGAAGCAACCACAAGCATGCTTTATCTTCTATTCAAAAAGATTTGGGAGGAGGAACAAGTGCCAATGGACTGGAAAGAAGGACACATCGTCAAGATTCCAAAGAAAGGAGATCTGAGCAAATGTGAACACTACAGAGGCATTACACTACTGTCAATACCAGGGAAAGTCTTCAACAGATTGTTGCTGAACCGGATGAAGGATGCAGTAGACGCCCAACTTCGAGATCAACAAGCTGGATTCCGTAAGGATCGGTCGTGCAGAGACCAAATTGCAACACTACGGATCATCGTAGAACAATCAGTTGAGTGGAACTCATCACTATACATCAACTTCATTGATTATGAAAAGGCATTCGACAGTGTAGATAGGAGGACATTATGGAAACTTCTTCGACACTACGGAGTTCCTGAGAAGATTGTCAATATTATCCGGAACTCATACGACGGACTACAGTGCAAAGTAGTGCATGGAGGACAGCTGACAGATGCATTCCAAGTAAGGACCGGAGTCAGACAAGGCTGTTTACTCTCACCCTTCCTCTTTCTTCTGGTGGTTGACTGTATTATGAAGACCTCAACATCTGAAGGAAAACACGGAATACAATGGACATCTCAGAATCAATTAGACGATTTGGACTTCGCAGATGACCTAGCCCTCCTATCACGTACACACGAACAGATGCAGATGAAGACAGCCAGTGTAGCAGCAGTCTCTGCATCAGTAGGCCTCAGCATACACAAAGGGAAAACCAAGGTCCTCAAATTCAAAGCGGAGAACAGCAATCCAATCACACTTGATGGCGAAACTCTGGAAGATGTAGAATCCTTCACATACCTGGGAAGCATCATCGATGAACAAGGAGGATCCGATGCAGACGTAAAGGCGAGGATCGGCAAAGCAAGGGCCGCTTTCCGACAATTGAAGAACATATGGAACTCAAAACAACTTTCAACCAATATCAAAGTAAGAATCTTCAATACGAACGTCAAGGCAGTTCCACTGTATGGAGCTGAAACTTGGAGAACTACAACAACCACAATCAAGAAGGTACAAGTATTTATAAATAGCTGTCTACGCAAGATACTCAACATCCATTGGCCGGATACCATCAGCAATAGCCTTCTGTGGGAGAGAACAAACCAACTTCCAGCTGAAGAAGAAATTAGGAAAAGACGATGGAAATGGATAGGACATACATTACGCAAATCGTCAAACTGCATCACGAGGCAAGCCCTAACTTGGAATCCTGAAGGGAAGCGAAAAAGAGGAAGGCCAAAGAACACATTGCGTCGGATAATAGAAGCAGATATGAAAACGATGAATTACAACTGGACGGAGCTAGAAAGGATTGCCCAGGACAGGGTTGGATGGAGAATGCTGGTGAGCGGCCTATGCTCCTTCACGAGGAGTAACAGGCGTAAGTAAGTAAGTAAGTAAGTAATCCTCGTACAAAATACGATGGAGTAGAAAAGAAAACTTGCTTCTTACACTTACGTTTCAAAGGTGATGAATTTGCCGGATTAATTAGTCACAGATTAAATTCTGCGTTGAAAGGGGCCTACGCAGCAGCAAAACTTACGACAGTATGGCAAACGAACTGCTCACTTCAACAAACCAAAATCGACAAGTCCTCTTTTCTTAGTAGCTCCAACTGCATCTACCAATTCACATGTACGTGCCAAAGAACTGAGAGAAGAGTGCATGTCAGCATTTCTGAGCATGTTCCAAGAAACTTGAGGCTGTGAGGGATTAAGGCTTTCAACAGCGCAATAGCTCGACATCTACTTGATACCGGGCACACCATCGACATTCCGCATGCTTTCAAAATTACCAATCGACAAAGAAGTACGACCACCCTCCGTATTGCCGAAACCATTTCGATCAAAAAACTTCAACCGGATTTATGCATTCAAAAAGAGACTTCAATAAACTTATCGCTACCCTCGTAACCCCGTTTTTTGTGTGTTTTGGTTATTGGGGTTATTTTATTCATTTATTTATTTTGTGTTATACTCCTCCCCTATTACATAATTCTTAAACCACATTATTATTCACACATTTTCACCATCTGATTCTCTTAAATTATGTTCACTTTTCAAATTCTATTTAATTATTATTGCGTAATCCATCTGATCATTATTCAATTCCATTATTACAACACCCACCTCGAATTAATTCCCTGACCTGTTCTAGCCTATAATTATTATTGTAATCCAGTTAGTTACATTCATTTATCTCATTTGTTTTCACACTATCTCAATGTAAAACAAATTCTGTCACCTTTTTTTGGTTTGTAAGCAGCTGATGAGAAACCTTGAAATAATATGAATTCATACTAGTCTGTATCAATATTTGTTCTTGCTCTATTTAAATTTCAGTGGTTAAGATCATGAGTCAGTTGAAGCTAGACCACCATGGAAAATCTGGAAGCACTGGACGGTCGTTTCGTCCTATTGTGGCACTCCTCAGCAGTGCGCATCCACGACCTCGCCCCCTGTGAGATTCGAACCCAGGACCAACTGGTTTCGCCCCCGAGCACTTAACCACTTGACCACTGAGCCGGCATCTATAAACGGAACCATTTGCATGCAATCCAACTTCAATAGTTTCCACTGTACATATGAATAAATCATAATCCTATCGATTCATACTGAAAACTGTTGTTTCATATGGTTGATTTGAAGCTATCTTTCAGTGAATCTTTTAATACTAGTAACCGATGGCCTTTAAGCTTTAACTTAATATTTTGAATAGATTAGATAGATAGAGAAGTGAATTGAGAAGTAATAACTGGTTATGTGGATAACATCGCTTAGATCTAAGGTAGTTTTCTGAGCTATTCAGTAAGATGTTTTCATAGATATATTTGAAAATTAAATCGTTGAATTCATGAGTCAAAAAAAACTAGACCATCTGGAAGCACTGGATGACCGTTTCGTCCTAGTATGCGACTCCTCAGCAGTGCACATCCAATAGTCTAGAGGTTAATTGTTCGCTTAGGAAACCGATAAGCCCTAGGTTCTAATCTCACGGGCTGGAACGTGGATGTGCACTGTTGAAGAGTCTCATACTAAAAAAGAAACAGTCATCCAGTGTTTTCAGGTTTTCCATGGTGATCTAGCTTAAATTACTAAAATCTCCACAAAACTCCCTTCTGATATTATTTAAAGTATATCATTATACTTACATGGTTATTGATAAATGTGATTAGTTGGTCTGAAAATGGATGAAAATACGTTTTGTTTTGTTGAATTGCATGACAATTTTCAATATCCATAAATAATACAGTAAGAAGAAGAGGAAGAAATAAAATCATTCTGCTTATTTCATAGTAACCAATTTATTCTCATTGTATTTATATTAGAAGTAAATCAATCATAAGAATGAACTTTAAACATTCAATAACATGAAATATATTTGACTAACAAGTAACAAGTAAATACACATATGATTTGTTTACGAATGATAAATCTCATCAATAAGGAATCTGTACCATAATATATGTGATGGTGTATGTTACACCGTTAGGAGAATATCGAATTTAGATGGCACAGCAAGTTGGCATTGCTACGGTGGTCAAAAACGCCGGAATACTAGACATTTTGACGGAGAGTATGGTAGAAAACTGTAACGAGGAAAAAAATGACACAGAGAATAGAACAACTACACGAGCAACTGTTTAAAAAGAGGACGATTGTGGTATATGCTATTTATGTCTGTCGATATAAGTAGTATATAACACCCATCAGAAGTGGAAGGCCTGACAATAGAAGGTTGAGAAGGTTGAATTTAAGAGAATAAAGATGTAAACAGAGATTAATTGTAAGAACAACAGAAATGAAGAAATGATGAATTTTGTCAGAGAAAATTGATTTATTATGTGACTATGCAGGATACTCAATGTCCGTTGATTGGATACTATCAGTAACAACCTACTGAAGGAGAGAACAAACGAGCTTCCATCTGAAGAGGAAATTTGGAAAAGACGTTAGAGGCGGATGGAAACCATCAAACTATAACAGGAGGCAAGAGTTAACTTGGATTCGTGAAGGGAAAAGAAAAGGAGGAAAACCAAGTACACACTGCGTTGAGAATTGGATGCAGATAAAAAAAGGATGAATAGCAACCGGAAATAACTGGAAAGGAATACTCAGGACAGATGGAGAATGTTCGTTGTAGGCTTATTCTTCTCCAGGAAAGACGATAGGCGTAAGGAAGTAAGTTTTATATTTTACGACGACCGTCTGTGATTTCGTATTAAACAAAAGTTTCGTCTTTTCCATCTGATTCTTCATTACATATATAGTTCTATATGAAACGTATGATTAAGAATTTGAACTCATGTGATTGATTCGGTTCACAATTCAATTTATCCTTATTCGTACAATTTAGTCTATATAAAACTTATGATTTTCATTTAAATATTGTATTAAGATGTAAATGTGTACGGTGATAAGATACTTGGATACCACTAGGGAAAACTCTGAGTTTGCAATGTGTTATTTAAATGAATTTTTAAAATGTTTTAGCTTATATTCTCAACGATCATTGCTATCACTCTTTCCTTTTACTTCATGAACTGTAATCTTTTCTTAGCCCTCGAATGCCCTGATACGGCAGAGAGTGCGGAGAGTTAGCTCTTTCTCTCGAAATGCTCCCATATGGCCACATGCATTTAACCACCGTCAGGGAAATCTTACTCACTGCCTTCTTGCGGCATTACTGCTATTTACGAAAGTGACAATATGAAAAGCGAATGTCTGGAGCTTTGACCAGGTTTGTGGATACGGAGAGTCCACATATGGGAGTTGGAAAACCTTGACTCCGAACCAATGGTGAACATGGGCTTCAGGATCCTAGGGAAATAAATGGCTTTAAATGCGGCTTCCTAAGAAAACCACATGTTTTGGTTTTAGTGTCGTGGTAGTATTCCAACTGTAGCAAGCCCATTCAACTATTGTTTTATTTGTCTACTCACTGTGATTCAGACACTTCATTCACTATGTTGATTTCTGTGTGTATGATTGAGCGCGTGTCTGCACATCAATCTTAATCTATTCTCCTATTGGTTGTAACATACAGATAATCAATAATTTATCCACACTAGATTGACACTCAAAAATATATATGGATTTTTAACACACACAGACACACATACACACTGTCGTGGTTTCACAGTGTGCTTGCTCGCTGTGCGATCGTGGATTTAATTTATCTTTAACAACAAAAATATCTCTACAACTGGTGTTCAGGCTCTTGAATAATCTCGAGTAAATCCGTAATTCTACTAGGAGATTTAGCCTACATAGAATACTCAGTTAACGGGATATCATTTATTGGAGTCAGATATAGAGGAAATTAACCCTCAACACAACCCTCACACAAATCGGATGATTTATGTAGAGGATATTTATTTGGTGCCTTCTTGTACCATTGTTTATGTATTTAAATAATAATAATAATTTCTCAGTTTACGAACGGGATTACTTGGTACTCCTTAAAATGGAGATCATTTATGAATTAGATGATTCTTTCAATTTAAGCAGTTGAGATCATGAGTCAATTGAAACTAGACCACCAAGGAAAATCTGAAAGCACTGGACGGTCGTTTCGTCCTATTGTGGGACTCCTCAGCATTGCGCATCTACGATCCCGCCTCGCGGGATTCGAACCCATCACCTATTAGTCTCGCACGAGAGCGCCTAACTACTAGACCACTGAGCTGGCCGGTATCCAACGGTGTTAATGTCTCATTTCAACCAATCCATGAAGTTGAGCGAAACATCTACCATTGTCATCAGTGAGTTACTACCTCACACTGACCGAGTTGAACTTCACTGGTCACTGCTTCTCACTAGAACTCCAGGATATATATCTTGAAGACAGTCACTAGTGAGCATATGTTGAGTAGTATCAAAAAAGGGTTTTTTGTGAACATTATATAGTAATTTCAACGGTTAAGATCATTACAGTTGACATAATGTTTGTTCATTATGAATTGATCATACATTTTCATAAAATAGTCTTGCCATATTTTATGAAAGAACTCTGTAAATTAGTTTACCCCACCAAGTATTCATCCATAACACTTGCATCATATTAACATGAACTATGCTGAGAATGACTTGTAGCTTATGATCGCTTTACTATACATAAAAACCATATCAGAAACGACAACCAGACTGTTGAAAACCTTCGGAATAGGTGTGACAGACATATCAACAAAATCCCTATAATCAATCCTATGTAAACTAAAGGATGAAATGACAAAAGAAGACAAATCAAATATTATCCACAAAATAAATTGTGCCAACTGTGAAAAACATTTGTACTTTTTCAAACTCCAATAAACATTTTCATTTATAATGCATCAGTCATTAATTACAGCAATGCATATCTATCACGACAGACCGGCTCTTGTTACCAATTGTGGTTTAATTGCTTCGGGACTGCATTCATTTTGCGGAGTTAACTGAAGAACGAAATCAAAAAGATGAGTAGTAAGTCGTGGTTACTTGGTAATAAATCAGTAAGCTTGTAGTGACTTGCTTTTATCACGAAAACACGATTGGTTTAATAAAAACAATTATTATTATAACCAATTGTACCAGTGACTGTTTTGCTGTGCTCGTTTGTTTAACTGTCCTAAAGACAGCTATATTACTGCTCCATTATCTTTTGATTGTGACCTCGCACGAATTCGGTTACGCTCAGTAACCACACTTGTACTCTTTTGGCACGATCTCGGTATCCTTTCGATACCACGAGATCTCCAACAAATACATCTCGACTACAGCCATCAACTGCCTTCCGATATTTGGCTTATGGGGGATTTTATCCGTTAATTGGCACGTAGTCTTCTTGTAGTGGTGTTCATAGTCAAATGCGACTCGACTCCACGCTACAAGCTTATCTGTACAGTACGTAACCTTGAAAATTTTCCGAATATCGTACTGAGAACCCGAAATCGTGCTTAAAGTCTCCTAAATGAGAGAAAATATCGAAGTTTGATCAACTAATATAGATGGATTTTCTCAAAGTTGTCGAAAATTCTGGGTATATTTTGGGGGAAACACAAATGTTTGAGGAAATTCCTCAAAACGTAAAGAGACGAACAATACAGCAGTACCTAATGATAGTGTACAATCTACTAGACACCAGTGGTCTCTACAATAAAATCAACCTACTCGAACCTCAACATTGAACTTCACAAGGAAACTGACAACATAATACATATCAAAAAGCAAATGTCGAGATAAAACAGAGTGTTTTCTAATCACTGCTTGGTCCAACCATGAATGCTCACTTAGCTGCTATTGACAGTGGCATCTTAGCTTTCCGAACGAGAAGTCCTAACGTGATTTGCATTTCTCAAACTTTGCTATGTTCTTACGCAACAAAAGTACGATTTCTGATCTACAGGATTTATTCTGAGCTATACGTTGTGTAGATTCCTTTTTTCTCGAGTTTCACCCAATTTAATAGTTAACTGTGATTTTGCCTCGTAAAGTCTAGTTTCAGTTTATCCTAATCCGTTTTTATCCATTTTCACTCGTTTTTAGTGTCTTTTTAACGATCCTAGGGTTTTTCTAGCATCCATAATACAGTTTATGTCAGTGTAGTCATGCAAAATTCGTGCAGACGACCTGGACGCCGTTTCGTCGTTACATCTGGCATGCAGTGCGATGACTGCGAAGGTTGGTTCAATGAAACGTGCACAGATCTCACAGCAACTGCTTACGACAGACTCAGCAAGTCGGATCATAAGTGGGTATGTGTTACATGCAACACGGATGCTGTAGTTTTGCTGAGTAACATCATTGTCTTCTTGACAAGTCTGAGTAATGAGTTGTCAGCAAAATTGGAAAAAGATAGTTATAAAACGGGTAGACAACAAGGTCGCGCAACAAGAACAAGAAGAAGGTTGTCGACAGGTCTACTATTGATGGAGCACGCAGTAGCACTAGTGATGACATGATGAAACTCAGCACCCTCATAACATCGACGGTAATAAACTCACTCAGCAAACGTGAGTCTATCAGCACAGGGTCCTTGAATGCGACGGCGGTTCCCAAAAACTCTATAGGTGATAAGACTTACGTTAACAGAGATTAAAAGGACCAGGTGTCACCGTCTAAGCTGAACATCTTAAGTATTGTACAGACATCAACTGGTGATTTGGCCGCACAGTTTGCCCACAACATTGTCCGTCCGGTCATCAAAGAACCTAGGAATCAGAAACGCGCTTCGAACTCCAAACAACAAGGTGCTGAACCTGACCGCACCGGATAACCCGGGAAAACAACAACGGTTCGT